AAGATACAGATGTGTTCTGCCAGAAGAGAAAATTAAGAGAGGGCAGGCACCTGGTGCAGCAGTTGCTTGGGAAGCCCCTATCCCATACTGAAGTGTCCAAGTTCAAATCCTGGCTCTGCTTATGGTCTCCACCTTCTGGCTAATGCTCCCCCTGGGAGGTCTCTGTCATCCGTCTGCACCGGGAGACCCAGATGGAGTTCCAGGCTCCTGGCTTCAGCCTGGTCTAGCCCTAGTTATTTAAGTCATTTGAGGAGCAAACTGGCACAGGAAGATCTGTTTCTCTGTCTCTGCCTTTCAAATAAAGTAATTTTTTAAAATAAAGGAGACAAGGGTTGTGGCACAGCAGGTTAAGCTACCACTTGGGATGCCCACGTCTCCTATCATAGTGCTTGTGATCAAGTTCTGCCTGTATTTCGAATCCACTGTCTTGCTAACGTGCCTGTGAGGCAGCAGCTGATGGCCCAAGTCCTTGAGACCATTGCATCCCTATGGGTGACCTGGAGAGCTCCTAGATGCTCCCAGTTTCAGTCTTGGCTGTCCCTGACTCTTGGGGACATGTGGGCAATGCACCAATGGATAGAAGATCTCTTTCTAGCTCTCCTTCTATGTCTCTCCATCTTCCAAATAAATAAATCTTTAAAAAAATCTGTTGGGGGATACAAAATAGAAAAAAAAAACAGATAACAAAATCAAGTAAGACAGGTCAAATTCCTAAGAAAGTTGGCTCCAACAGCATGAGCGTGCTGGACACAAGGACTTTCTCTTCAGGGTCATGGTCAGGGGGAGATTGGATGCAGCTGAAAGGACACAGATGAGAGAGAGTGGTTCTATTAAGTTAATCTGTAATTCCAAGATTCCAGGACAAAGGGTACAAACCCAAACACTCCACAGAGTGTAACACTACCAGGTGTAGTGGGGTCTCGTGACCTTGTCTAGGTTACATTTTGAAAAGTCACCCTCAAATGAAAAGGATAGGCAGGATTCACTGCAGAAGGCTTACCGCTCTTGTTTGACCAATGATTCTAAGCAAGCAACAGATAAAGTGGGGCCTGTCGGCTGAGCGGAGGGATGGGGTGCACTTCAAGAAAACATGACACATATTTCAAGCATAGTTAACTCTGAATTAAGGGAAATCCCCTGCTAGAAAAAACCCTAGGCGGGTCATGTGTGCCTGCACACACGCCTGCATGCATGTGCAAGAACTGCTGTGTGCATGGCTGTGGCCCTGCTAGCTCTCTGACTTTCTCCTGTGGCTTCCCTAGCAGTCAGGATAATGGTTAGCTTTACTGCTGTGCTTTGCCAAGGCCTTTACAGTTGACTTACTACTTTCCCAATGCATGCTGCATACACCCGAGGAGACCGCTACCCCAACTGAAGCCATCCTGAGGCTGGTGGTGCAGCCCCACTCTGAGAGGAACCCCGATGTAGACACTGGAAGTAAAGCAGTTTATCTCCCAGTCTTGTTCCTCTCCTCTCCTCTGAACCAGCCACTATTCTGAATCTACTGTCGTAGCTGCTAATTAACTTCAGACAACTTAGGAACCCCCTGCTTGGTCAAAGACACTGAACAATGTTGATGAGTAACCAGAAAAACCAACTCTCCCTCCTCATGCAGTTACTTCTCCATCCCCGTCTCTCCATGTCCCCAGTGAAGTGTCTCCTCATAGCACCTCAGAGAACCTCATAGGACTCATTATTTCTGCTTGAGACTTTTCCATAACAGAATAGATGCACCACTAGGGATGCACAGCTCTAATAACAAAGATGTTAAGTCGGCGAGTGTCTTTGCTCACAATTCCTACTAATAAGAGAAAGGAATCTACACCACAATTTAGGTTGCAACATTTATACTCTTTCTTGATTATATCCACTATTTGAGACAGACATATGACAATACAGCGTAGAGAGAGTCAGCAAGCCTAAGAAAAGGTACTCAGTTTCACTAACCATCCCAACAATGCAGACCAAACCCACAGGGTGGTACCACGTCCTATCCACCCATCAGAATGGCTAGCAGACACTATCAAGTGTTGGGGAGGAAGTCAAGTACCTGGAATTCTCATAAACGGGCACTGAGTATAAATTATTACAACCACTTTGAAAAGCCCATCCAGGATACCTACTAAAGCTGAACATTCCAGTACCCACAAAGTCACACTATGTCTGTAAGCTCACCATAAGGCAAGTACAAGAATGTTTACCGATTCTTTGATTCCAACTGGAAGCAAACTTGATAGAAACACTGTGGAAACTTCACACAGAGAAATACTTTAAGATTCTAGTTGCATAATAAATACCTTCTGATTTCAATTATGCAAAAATTTGAAAGAGGCAAAATTAAACTATGTTACAAGATAGTTTAGTGGTTCCCTCTGGTGGGTAGTGATGGGGACGGGAATGAAGCAGGGAGTCTTCTGGAACGTGCACAGTGTCCTCCTTGATCTGGTTGGTGATACATGGGTGTGCATGTTGTGAAAATGCATTAAGCTATACTCAGGATTTTTGCAATTTTCTCTATAGAGTCACCCCTTAGTATCTTAGGGTGATTGCTTCCAGGACCCCTGACAAATATCAAAATCAATGGAAGCTCAGGTTCCTTATATAAAATGCAGTACTTATGATCTATGCATATCCTCCTATACATATTCAGTCATGTCTATATCACTTAATACCTAACACAATGTGGACTCTGTAAATAGATATTATACTGTACCATTTAGGGAATCATGTTTAAAAGTGTTTGTTCATCACAGATATTTTTAAAAACAATTTTAATCTGCAGTGTGTTGAATGAATGGCCCATGGATACAGATGCTGACTGTGCATTTTATGTTTCTGAATATACATTAAACATCAACACAAGGGGATAAAATTTATACAAAGTCTCATCTTGCTAGTTGTGGTTCTGTCCTTGTTCTTGTTTTGTCTGATTTTCTCGAGAGTATGGGTGTAGGGGTTTGCATTTTGTGGCCGTTTGGTGGAGCATGGACATGCTAACAGAACAGAGTTATGCTGGCATCTCTCTCTACACCTCAGCAGGCAGACTCTGCAAGGGTCAACCAACTGGAGAACCACAGTGAGAGTCTTTGAGAGGGCAGAGATCCTAGAAATCATCTTACATGGCTCAGGAGAGCAACCTGAGACCTAGAGAGCTAAGGGTAATTAGCTCAGGACTTGCAACCGGCTTGCTGTAAGGTAGACACAAGCCGAGTCTCAGCATTCCAGTTTCCTGCAGGCTGCCACACAGGCCAATCCGGTTGTCAACTACCACTTGCACACCCATCACAATGCTGGAGAGCTTTAAGCTATTCTATTTTCACGTGCTGAGTGATCACTTGCTCCCTGCGCATAAGTGAATCTCTTCCTTCGGAGACATAACCTGATACACAGCAAGAGGAGACAGCTGATCAGATTTCCAACCACTCCTGGAGGGCGGACTCCTCGGAGAGCTGCACACAAGGAGGCTGAGTTTTGCTGGAAACAGAACAGCTGTGAAGCCCGTCCGCCCTGCCAGGAACTGCCGCAGCACTTTCCATTTAACCTCCACCGTCCCGTGGACTAACTTCTCTTGTTAATCCCATCTTAGAGATGAACAAACCAACGCACGCTGAAGCTGTGCAACTTGTCGAAGGCCCTACGAGGAAGTGTTGGTATGAGAATTCAAACCCGGGGAGACTGTTTGGAACCACTGGTATGTGGTTTGGGAGTTTAAGCCATGCTGATGTGGTATGTGAACTCCTGAAGAATTCAGGATAACAAGAGAAGCAAGAGAAAGAGTCACAGGAGCAATGCTATTTAAATAAAATAAACACTAGGAGACTAACCACAAACAAAAAGAAACAAAAAAATTGAGTCTTATTTTCATGTGGGTACACACACACATGTGTGTGTGTGTGTGCAGAACATGTATGTGTGTAGTCATGTTGTAATACAAAGGTCATTAGTGAGCCACAGTCATCATTTGAATGGTGAAGCTTAGCTGGCAGAGTTCAGTCTTTGCTTTACCCTTCCAATCGACCCATGGATATCGTGACTGAAGCTGGGGTGACAACTCTTGGCTACATTTCAGGCATGCTAAAAAAATTTTTCACTGAAAGTTTTAACTAGCAAAGAATACAAGAATCCTCGGTCACCGGCACCTGAGCCACCCCGGCTTGTTCTCCGCCACAGTGCGCCAGCTCCCTTCTAACAATCTCAAGTATACTTTCTCACGCTTTCCACCTGCTGGCCAAGCTACAGCGTGATCACCATGCGTCTCAACACATACGCTCTGCTGTCTGTCCAAGACGCTTGGTGATTGCAACACGGAAGGAAATCAACCCAGAACGCCACTTACTGCCTTGTGCATCAGCCTGAGCCCTCAGACAGGTATCATTTACATTGACAGTTGAGGATTACACCAAGAGGAAACGACACTTTGTCCCAAGCGCTTTGCAACGTTCTGTCTCCCTGGATGCCACACATAATCCTGCCAGCACTCCAACAGGAGCACACCATATTCTTAAAGGCTGTCTTACATGAACAGGCAACACCATCAGCCAAGTAAAAGACAACCAAAGGCCCGGGTTCAGTCAAGCTGAAGGCTGGGCCGTCCAGGGCTGCTGAATACATTTTTTTTTGCCTTGAAACACAGTTTTCCCATTTCAAAGCCACGTAGACACACAGCTTGTTAGATTTATAGAACGCCTGGTCTCCCAAGACTTTGCAAAGCGAATGGCATTCATCAAGTTAATTTCCTTGGGGATCGTCTCAAACACGGAGAATGAAAAGGCCCAGACCATTAAACATCAAAAGAATGTTCTAAATGGTAATTAAAGTTCTATTCTATTTCCTTTCTCTGGGAGATTAGATTAATTCAATTGCGAATATTAGGCGTATCAAAGCTGACAGTGTCAATGTGTGGAGCTGGCCCGAGGAACATGTAATACTGCAGACATCTGTTAGTTCGAGTTACACCAAACGCCACGGGGAGACATGCACTCGGCCTGGGCTGTACTCACCAAGCCGGCACACGTAGACACCGCCACAGAGGAGGAGCTGTCATTTCTGATGAATCCCTGATAGAAGCAAGGCTGCACTGCGGGTTCCCGAGTCTCCGAAGCACCATCTCTTCCAAGTACCTGGACAATAAAGTGACTGCTCAAAATCGCCGAGGGCTCAAGTTCCAAGTGGAGTTCCTGTCCAAATGCTGAAAATCGGTAGTGCAGGGAGCTCCTGGCACCCTGTGCCGATCGCTTTCTCCTGCCGCTGTGCAAAATGTCGTGCGAGATATACGAGCCGCCTGAGTCCACTTCTACGGGCGTGACAAAGACGTAACCTGCAATGGGAAAAGTTCAGCCGTCAGCGCCCAGCACCCGTCATGCCCACAGGTGGACAGAGAGCAAGACACAGCTCAACGGTATCTTTGTTCCTACTGCCCTGCACCCGGATCTCAGGCAACTGAAGCAGCTCACGAAGAGGAGGAGGGAGGCCCCTGTGGTCCCTGCAGTGGGCTTCAGTATCTCAAAGTCTGGCACACTTTTGATCCCTGTCAAGATGGTAGAGGGGAAAATGTCAACTCGTGTGGCCTGCAGAGGCAGACTTTTTTTTTTTAATCTATTAACCACGGAGTCATCAATATATAAAAAGTGATTTTATATTTGGAGACCAAATTAATTTTGAGCCACAAACGTCAATAAATGGGGCTATTTTAATCCAGGAGATGGAAGAATGTCATGTTGAAACTGAATTGGGAACCGATTTCTCTGGCAGAGGTAAAACTTCCAGTGTTAACTCAGTCTTGAGTCATTTCAGATGATCGTACAGATAAGGAACAGAACCACGCCAGCTTCCTATATCCAACACCTTTGTGCCTGATAACAAAACTCCCACTCTTTTAACACCTTTAGAATTCTATGGAGAGCATTCACAGGAACAATCCCATTTAATCGGAGGCATAAAAGAGACCCTCGGTATACAAATGCCTCCCAAACTGCCAGAACCATCGAGAGTCTGAGGTTTGGAACTGCTCAGACATGTTGCTGGGGGGAGTGTCCGACCAGAGCAGACCTGGAAAAGCGTGTTTCGAAATACCTTCCCCGTGGCTCCCTGCAGCAGCGCTAATTGCTGCATGTTCCAGAGAAGAGGGGCTCCAGAACAATTTTCTATTTGAAAGGCAAAGCCAGCACACAGAGTTTTCATTCATATAACACCAAGACCAAAAAGCGTCATCCCTTCAAACGATTCGCAAGATGCCCTCTGCTCATTAACTCTGTATTTCCATGCTGGCGTCACACTATCGGAAACGGATTTAGGAAGCGTTTAGAAAGATTCCGAATAACTCAACAGGAGCACAGGGTCACTTGGATCCTCCAGGAAAAGGAAGAGCAATTTTCATTTTCCCCCAAACAATCAACAGTCATCCCCAGCCCAGCCCACCAGCTCCACCCTCCAGGAAAAGCTAAGGGGGGAACAGACCAACCGCAAGGCAGCTAACAGGGATTAATAAGCAACAACATATCGAGTAGGCTCACATGGTTTGAAAACAAAAATTCCAATACCACAGTCTTCACCTGCTTCCTTCTGCATCTGAGCCGTCTGCGACCAACTGCTTGGGCAGCTCTCTCGGCTGCTTTCAAGCCTACCTCTCCCGTTTTCTCCTTCAACTAGACGGCTTCGTCATCGGCGCCCATATTGTTAAAATAATTGGGGGAAAAAAAGTTTTCTCTTTTAAAAATCCAAGCAGAATGTGTCCTATTTCCCTTTTCTTAAAAATCACCGGTGTGTTGTTTTACAGGTACACGGCTCTTGATTAAGCGCAGGTTTTTCTTAGAGCAAACCCACCTCCTCCCTCCAGCAAACTAAAACTTAACTTAGGCAAACTATCCTTGATGTAACCCCCAGAGACTCTGCACTAACTTGTTTCTTACCTGCTTGTCCCAAATCACCTCAAATTCTGCCTGCTCTTACTTGGGAAGGGGGGAGGGCTTTCCAGGCTGCCTTCCATGGAATCAGCATGCCAAGTCCTCACCCCCAGACGCCTGCTATTAGTTTCCCAGGGGTGAATGGGCAGGCTGGTGGGCCTTCAGCCTTCCATGGACACAGGTGCAGCCGGAGCCCCCTGCCAAGAGGGATCCGATCCACTGGCTCCGAAACTAGCTAAAGACGGGGTCCTCGCTGGGGATGGCTGGGGCAGAAGGGGTCTCCAGCCGCTGGATCCTGACTTCTCAGGAGTGGTTTGTAAAACTGTGGCCTCTCTGGCTGGACAAAGTGTGTGAATCTCCCAGGAGCTCATTGCTAGGACGCTCTGATCCATTCCCTGGCAGTCCGCCAGGAGGCCACCATCCCCCCACTCCCTCCAAATGACCCCTAGGGCTCTGACAAGGGGAAAACCCTGCAAAGCTGAAATTCCAAGGCCTCGAGGAATTCCGGGCTGGACAGCAAGGTTCTGCTGGACACCTTGGGTCAGGAGTTGGCTGCTTCCCTGCAGCTGGGAGAAACAAGGCTTTCCCTTGCCAGCGCCACTGGGAGCTTCTGGCTGGGGAACCTCGGCCGGGATAAAAGGACCGGGGGAGCTGGTGCTACCTGCTTTCCTCTCTGCAAAACAGTCCTGGGAAATCGGGGACAGGAGAAGGCAAAGGCAGGAAGGGAGCAGAGGTGGAGCGGGGAGGGGGCTCGCATCCTCTCCCCCACCAAGCACTGGTTTCGGTGGACTTCCCAGGGAGGAAGGACATGCGCCAGGGGCCTGCTGATCATTAATCCTGCAGCCAATGCCCACTTCCTGTCGGATTGCTTACTGCAGGTGCGATTACTTTTTCTCAGCAAGCCGTGAAGTAGGCAAAGACTTTTCTCCTTTATGCGACTGGTAGCCTGAGGCATCGACTCTTCTGCTAAATTCAGAGCCTTGGTCACACCGCCCCCGACCCCTCCAAACACCAAGCCATTCCAACCCCGCACACATCTGCCGGGTTGGGGGGACGCTTTTCTATCTTGTCTCTCTTAGGTGTTAGGGGAGGACAAGGTGGCTGCAGAGACCCTTAGAGATGGAGCGCAAATACGAACCGTCGTTTAATCCGCCGCCGCCGCCGCTGCTGTCACTGGCTAAAGCTGCGGTGAGCCACGCACAGCCGAGGCAGCACAGCTGGAGCGCCTGCAAGAGAGAAGGTGACAGAGCGCGTGAGGGGCGCGCTGGGGCTGCCGCCGGGTGCCCCCTGCCACCCGCTCTCCGCGCGCCCCCAGCGGCACCTGCCTTGGCCAAGCGCCCCAGTCCCGCCGGGCCCCACGGAGGACCGGAACCCGCGGCAGCGAGGGCGCACGCGAGCAGAAGGGCGCACTCCATGGTCAGGTGCGGGCAGGCGGACGCGGCGGGCGGAGCGCACGAGCGGCGCGCATTCTCCCCGCCGGCCCGGAGCACAGCGCCCCAGGTGCGGCGCCAGGTGGGAGCCGCCGCGGTTCACATCGCAAGCAGGGCGGGCGCCCCGGGGCCTCCGCTCCGCGGGCCGCCCGCGCGCCCTCCCTTCTCCCGGCGCTCGCTCGCGGCTCCGCGGGCCGGGGCTGCAGCGCAAAGGGCTGGGAGACTCTGTCGGTGCCTGCCCGCCCGCCCGCCAGTCTGTGCGTCTGTCTGTGTCGGTGGGAGCGTCTGAGGCTCCGGGGAGAGCAGCGCCAGCTGGCTCCCCAGCGCGCCGGAGCCGAGCGCCCGCCTCTCCACCGCGCGGTGATTGGCGACCAGCGGCTCCCGGGCTCGTCCGAGCCCCCGGGCTGGTGCAAGGGCGTGGGATTCCGGGCTCCGGCTCCGAGGGAGGGGGCGAAGCGGGCGGGGAGGCCGGGTGGGAGTGAGGGGGAGGGAGGGGCCGGCGGCGCCGGGAGGGAGGGGTGCGCCCCGGGTCAGGCTTGGAAAACGTAATTTCAGCTCCCCCGAGATGAGCTGAGAAGGGGGAGGCTCAGGTAGGCGGCCCCACTTCTCTTGCAGCCCGTGCGGGCTTCTCCTGGTCAAGTCTGTCCGGCCAGAGTGGAGACGTTGGCCGTTCTCCACACACCCCTGAACGCCTGGAGCGATCTCCTCCCGTCTTTGGCCGTCTGCCTCGGCCTGTTCCCTGTAAGGTGGGAAGGATTAACCTCTGATAAGGAAACTGAGGCTCAGATGCGCTCAAGGTCGCCTCACAACCAGCAGTCCCGCCAGAAAGAGCAAATGGGGGACAGCTGCAAGGCCCGAACTAGCGCCGGTCTGGGTCTTTTTCCTCCTCTCCCCAGACACCCAACAGATAGCGCGCTTGCTCTATTGTTCAGCCCGCGTAGGAGCGCAGTGAACCTTTGAGCCCTATGGAAGGACCCCCTGTTAGATAACCCAGCAACAGTGACAGAATCAGCATGACCAAAGGTGGTACCAAGGAAAACAGTGAAGTTCCTAAGTTAAAGATGTCCATGCGTGTGGGTGTGTACAGACACGAGTAAAGCACCTATTAGGAAATATTTTAAATAATGCCCAAGAGCGCGGGTCAGTTTTCTAAGAGCAGAGGGGAGCATGGGAGCTGGTGTTGTGAAATAGCAGGTGACCCTAATGCCTGGGAGACCAGCATCACATGTAAACACCAATGTGTGTCCTGGGTGCTCCACTTCCCACCCAGATCCCTGCTGATACACCTGGAAAGCAGTGGAAGATGGCCCCACCCTTGCCACCCATGTGGGAGACCCTAATAGAGTTTCAGGTTCCTGGCTTCTTCAGGGTCCAGCCCCTGTCACTGTGGCCATTTGAGGAATGAACCAGCCTACGGAGACTGATTCTGTCTCTCTGTTTTCAAATAAATAAATATTTTTTAAAAAACCATGACATAAATGAAGCTCTTGTTAGGGCAAGTGTGCACCAAGATGGAAGAGTTACAGGACAGAGAGGCAGAAACGGCAGGTGGCCAGGCCTTGTAGACAGGACCTTGTAGACTGGGGTGAGGCATGCAGGAAACCACTAGGTTTACGTGAAGTTGTTTTGTATTCATGTGTGTGGGCAGCAGTATCGCCTGCAGTATAAAACATGATGTAGACCATGGTTCAGTGTGCACATGGCCAGGGAGTGGTCGTGAAGGACCAGAGAGGGACACACGAGGCCGCTCTTGATAGCACGAAGTCTGGTACCAGGAGGTGGCAGTGGAAGTAGATGGGATACCGAGGGCTACCCAGAGGGCTAACAATAGCTCCAAGCCCAGCTGAGAATAAGCGACAGCTCAGCACACACAGTCTGTGATTGAGTGCAGTGGGGAAGAGGTAAAGGTCAGGTTAGAGAGGCAGAGGAGGGGGCACAACATAGGCCTGGGGGAATGAGGCAACGTCTCCCAGTGAGAAAATCCGTGTGGCGCTTGGGTTACCCTGAGCAATATTTGTAAGGCCCTGCGGACTCTGTTTTCTAATCCCTAAAACAGGAATCCATCTAATCCATCAAAAGAATTAATATGTTTTCCAAGCCCTTTATAAGTGAGCTTTACATGCAGGTGCACATGACACCATGTTTCTGTGACTTCATACATCCTGTGTCATGTTTTAATATGCAAACAGCTCCCCTGGGATGCTGGATTAAAATGCAGATTCCTGGGTGATAGGCACTTGAAGTTCTCATTCAGTGCACCCAGTGTAAGGCCCAAGTGTGAGTCGCCTGCGGGTGATTCTGACGTAGGAGACCCAAGTGCTTTATGTGACTTCAGTGAAGCACTGGACACAGAAGGAACCGGGAGGCTGAAGACATGTGGTGTGACTGCAGAGGGTGATAATACACTGTATGCTTTGTCAAAGACGTATTGATTTGAAAGGCAGAGTGTCAGAGAGAGAGGAGAGACAGAGGACCTTCCCTCCACTGGTTCACTCCCCAAATGGCTGGAAAAACCAGACCTGGCCAGGCTAAAGCCAGAAGCCAGAAACTCCATCTGGAACTGCCTCGAGGCTGGCAGGAACCCAAGTACTTGGACCATCATGTTTGCTGCTTTCCCGAGCACTTTAGTGAGGAGCTAGATTGGAAGTGGAGCAGCTGGGACTTGACCCACTGCTCCAACAGGATGTCAGATTTATAAGCAGTGGCTTAATCTGTTGCATCACAACTCCACCCCCCTCTCTATTTTTTTTTAAAGCCAGAATAACTTTGAATGCTTTCATTTTAAAGAAATGATACATGTTTGCAGAGGTAGCTATGTTTACACTGAGATATATACATGTACTGAAACACAACATATGTACCCATAAATATGTATCAAATGAAAGATAGGAGGTATACACAGCACTGTAAATTGTGCCTGCAAGCAGTGGACTGAATATAAAAGGAGGTTGGGATGGACAGGCTACAGGTCATACCATCACATGCAACACAGAAGGCAACTGGAGGACTCAGTGGTTTACCTGCACTTGGCTGAAAATAATCGTATACCTGATTCGTGCCTCTTCTTTGAGATGCGTTGGCAGGAAATCGTCCACAGCACTTTGATTTTCCTCATTTGCAGTCAGCAATGTTGGTTACTCAGCACCGGCAGAGCTGGGGGTCCGGAGAACGGCCGACGTGCTGCTAGACTGTGGTGTTTCTCAGTCTCATTCCCATAGGATGTGGAGCAGCCTCTGTGACCTCTGCTGGCCAGATGACAGTCGCACCCCCACAGCTGTGACAAAATGTTGGGAGACAAAACTGCCCCAGATGCGAACCGGGATGAACAGTCCACATTCCAGTCCTCTTCTGTGACATCTTCCTGTCTACATGAATCCTCGTTCGCCCAGACTTGTTTTTTGCCGAGTGCCTGCCTTGAAGGGACCGGAGGCTCCTCTTGCACCTGATATAGGTGGTTCCTTCCTCCTGATCATCCAGCTCTTGACTCTATCGATCCTGGTCCTCCATGGTGGTACAGAAACCAAGACTCACCTCCTACGTACCGTAGATGCAGGGATCAGAACTTCCAGTTTCATTCATGTGCAGATGACAGGGTCCATTTGCTTTCCTGGGGAAAAGACACAGAGCCTCCCAAAGCCAAAACTTCCAGGGTGATTTTACAGGTTCCACTTCCCAGAACTGGCCCTGCAATATGTACAAATTGTCTCTAGATGGTGACAGAGAGTCAGGAGCACTTGGTCCAGCCTTCTTAAGAGTGGATTACAAAGCAGCTAGCACCTGCTCCTAAGTTACTTGGAAATAAAAGTCTTAGCTGATTTTAAAACCATACATCTAAGACACTTTAATGACCACCTAAAGTTGATAGCAACCCAATGTGGTGGTGGGCGGGGAGTGCTGATTTGTTGTATTCTGTCTAGCTTTGCTCAGAACATGACAAACAGCAGGCATTGAAAATGCTGGGAGGGAGGGAGCAAATGGTAGGGATACGCGAGATGCAGCGGGATGCCACAGTTTCACCCTCCACTAGCAACCCCCTCACTCCCTCAGCCCCATCACCTCTTCCTCTCCTCTAAAAGCAATGGCACAGTTCTAGGCACTGGCTTTCCTTGCTTTCTTGTTTTGTGTGTTTTCTTCTATTTTTGTCAAAACAATATGCCTTCAGTCACTTACCCCCTCCTGGCAAGATCAAGAAATAAGTGACAAGCACGTTATGTATTCCCTTTTCCTTTGTCCCTGGTCCACAAAGAGGCACACACCCCTCCCCCCAGATAGTAACGCACATTCACCAGCTCAGCTGACTTTCTGTGCTGTGACCCAGTCCAAACCATCCTCTGCCTCCCAGGCAGCGTCACGTGGCTTGTCAGGTTTTGTTGAGCAGGTGTCTGGCTGTTCCCTATAGGAGGTACATCCTATAGGTTGTACATCCAAAAACAGTACACAGGGCTGAACCTATTCCTACACAGTAGCCAAAAGGCAGACTAAAGAGATGGCGATGGGCTGACCTCACTGAAGACTTCTGAGAAAAATGTTTTCTGCCCAGTGTCTCAGCAATGAGGCACAGACAGCAACACAGCTGTCAGCATCTACAGGGAGGGGACAGGGACCAGGTGGAAGGTGACAGAGCTGCAGGCCCTAACATTTTCTGTCTTCTTCAGAGAGAACCATCCTGAAAGGTAAGTATATACCATACAAAATCAAGAATGCAATTCAAATGAGTGACAGATAATAGCCTTTCAAACAACATCTATTTGCAACGACACAGGAAACAGAACCTCTCGCCTGAACCACGGGTTTGGTCCAGAGTCAACACCTGCTCTTGCATCTCTTGGAACGCTGGCATTGCCTCCTTCCCTTTAGAACCTGAGCTTGTCTGGGTCATCTGGGTGATAAGGTTTTCTCTCCCAGCTCAGCTTTCCTCAGCTCCATGCGCTGGCTTCCCCTGTGCTATTTTTAGTCCTTTCCCAAGCCCTGCTATTACAAGTAGCTTGTTTGCCAGAGGCCCAAGAGGTAGTATTAAAACTAGACTATTTATTTCCACAAATGAGCTCAAGGCCAAGTTCTGAGCTCTCTCTGCACAGTGGAAGAGTGGAACATATACTTTGCAAAAGCTCTGGAAAATATCAGGTTTCCCAGGAAGACAAATGACTTTTGTATTTGTGAGGTCTTCTTTCTTCCTTCTCCACCACTGTGGATGACCCCACCGGCACAGAGGCTCAGATTCCAGGTCCCCTAAAGCCTTGGACCTGGGAAAACCAGGATGGGCAACAAGGGCCAATCAGAATCACCTGGAAAGTTGTTAGACGTGCACATCCTTGGGCATCCCTATGAATATTCTTGTTGAGTGAGTCTGGATTTCTGATATAACTAAACATAACATGTTGGTCATTATTGTAGTCCACTCTACTTACGCTTCCACTTGGACACCACA